GTTAATATTTCTATTTAGATATTTATACTTTTATTTGAAAAAACCTTAATAAATATTATAAAGATAATTTTATTTGTGGATTTGATTAACAAGTAGTAACATTAACACCATGTAATATTGTTTTGTCGATATTTATGATAATATTTTTAAATTATAATTTATAATTTATTTTAATAATTATAAAAAATATATAATTTTAAAAAAAGTGGGTTGGCCCGGCAAGCCTGTAGCCCACGTACTTGTGGCCTGGGCCGACCATTTTTTGGCCCATACCAAAAATGGGCTAGCCCGGCCTGACCCATAAAATATCAAAGCCTGTATGGATTAGCCTGGATGGGGTGGGCTAGCCCATATTGACAGCTCTAGTTCCTGTGCTTTATTATTCTTTTCTAAAATTATTTTATGGTTAAAACTTTTGAAAATAGTTAGCAGGTCTTAGTCCCATGAGGCTAGCTCTTAGAAAATTTTCATTGTCAACAGTTTAAGGATCCGTTTGGCCTAAAAAATACTTGAAAAAAATTTGGAGAAAATTTGGAAAAAACTTGGAAGTGGTGTTTGGTCATATAACTTGACAAATATATTTGTCAAGTATCCCAAGTTTCAAGGGCCAAGTTCTAATATTTGGAAATTTGAAAAAATTCAAAAATTACCCAAACTTTATATTTTATAAAAAATACCCATTATTTATTAATTTCAACTAATAATTGTTACTACCTCTTCCGGAAAAGTTTGAGTTCTAATTTGAGTGATAAAATTGAGAAAACAGAACAATTTGTGTTTAATGAGTTATAAATATAACTGAATCAGTGACAAGTTTGAGTATGCGATTAATATATTGTCTTGTTTATATTGTTATTTTGTTATTGTTGATTGTTATCAATTATATTATAAGATTTTTTTTAACTGAACATATTCACTACAAAATGATAATATAAATTTATGAATATTTTAAATAATTTTTAGAACGTATAGATATAAATCATATTTTTTGAAATAGTCAAATATTTTTGAGAAAAATTGGGACCAAACACATGGTGAAACCCAAATATAATTTGCCGAGAATATTTGAAAACTTGGAGCCAAACGCTAGCTAAGCATGATATATTTTATAAAAATAAGGAGGAGATAATTATTCAGAAAGGCAGTCAATTTTTGGTGTGTGTGTGGGGTGAGGGAGGCCTCACGTACGATATTTATTTTGAAGTTCGATTAATTTAAATCGATTTTTTTTATTTATAGATAACATGCTTCCCATCTAGGTGTAACATGTATCCTTAATCCTTATATATATTCATAATTAAAAATAAAATAAAAATAGGATCATACGGAGGGGGAGTGGGGGGGTGGGGGTGATTTAGAGATTGGAGAAAGAGGAGATTATGGCTAGGGAAGGGCTCTAATGAAAGTCAAATGGTTGAAATTTGTTTGTTTTCATCCGATGTTCAGTACTCACATTGAACTCTGATTATTTTGAATTCATATTATGTAGGTCCTCATTTGAGGGGAAGCGCTCCCTATCAAATTTTTTTTTAATATTCAGAACTCGAATTCGAGACCTATGAATAATGAAGGAACAATCTCATTTACTGCACGACATTCGTTGATGATAAATGGTTGACATTAATCGTATTAAACATTGTTTTTTGCCCAAAGAATGTGTAATTCTGGGCAAAAGATTCCATTGATAAGTTAATTTTGTGGGAATTTATAAATGTGCAAATTGCATTAATAGAATGTGACTTATGCAACTAACATAAATGGATACTCCAGGATAACGGTAAATATATATCGAAAGAAAAAAATAATTATATCTTTTAGTTTATTAAATGACTAATTAAAAGGAGAAAATATATTTTTAAATATGTTGAACAAGTAGGAAAAAGGAGAAAATTTATTATATAGTTTTTTTTTTCAAAAAAAAGAATAACAATTTCCGAAACAGAGACTCCTTTAAACTTGAAAATATTAAAGGTCAAGACAAACCAACTAACAGCTTTCTAGAATACTTAACCACCAAACAAAATTATTTTAAAAAAAACTTCGAATAAACCTAACTCATGTTTTTTTTTTTTTTAAAAAAGTCCCTTTTAACTTTCAAAAATTAATTTTTTTCCATGCCCTATACGTGACTGCTTAAGGATATATATTATATATACTTTACTATTATAAATAAATAAATAAATAAATAGTAAACGACCAGCCTTAGAAAAATTACTACAAGAGATGAAGAGATATGGTTTTTGTTTTTATTTTCGTTCAAATTATTATTAATGTTTATACTTCTAACTCTCATTATAACATTTTTTTTCCATTAAGCAAGATAAGTTGAAAAAACAAACAGGATAGGAGGATCGACCCGTTCAGATAATTCGTAAGAAAGACAGTTGGTAGCACATAGGGAGATTAGAAAAGAGGTACAAGCACGATACATGTTGCAGTAACAGTCTGCCTTATAGTTTTAGTTTTGATTCATCGGAACAAGTGTAGTATTTAAGCGAAGAAGGGTAAAGGAGCGGACCCATTATCCACAAATTTTGAAGCTGGAAACAGTAGATCTATCGATCATCATAAACTATATATGCCTAAAACTCATACTAGTGGAAAAAATATATTCTATACTCTATGTTAGCTACAAGGGTCAAGGCCAGTATATACTGCTCCAACAGCATCTGCAAAAAAAGACTAAAGCCACCATGCATAACGAGCAACGACAAATCGAGTAGACTAACAACTCAACATAGAACCAGTAACTAAGGTGTCACTATTAGAACGGACCATCTCACACAGACAAATTATTTCGTAGAAGATTGAGAAAGTAAAGAAGATTTTACCTGATGTACTCGAGATGAAAAGAGTAGATGGCACTTGTCCAGCATTTGCAGTCTAAAGGCAATAACATAAATCACAATGTACTATAATTTACTTGGATGCAAAGTTTTGGTCAGTCTTCCAGAAATGACTCTAGTTTTTTTGCTCTTTTCCAGATCATATTTTATCCAAGCAAGCATACTACCAACCAAAGTTTAAGAAACTCAGAAACATGCAGGAGCTTTTCCTTTTATAATTGATCGATTGTCCATAAATGGAGACCAACTACTTCTACATGGACTTGGAACAGTCTTCACGCATCGTATCTAAAATGGCACTCTCTTTTCTCATCTATCTTGGTGGTTTATCGAACAAACTAAAACAACATAACATGTGAAGTCTACATAAAACAGATGAGAGATGCTACACAGATACTCCAAGACATGTACTGGTGTTATCAAAGGCAAAAGGCATAAAAAGGAGCCAAAATCTTCTGGAAATTGAGTGCAAAGCACAATTAAATCGTGAGCTTTAATGAAGAAATGTGCATACGAAAAATAAGAAAAAAACATAATTGTAACGTAAGAGAAAGCAACTATAGACACAAACAACAGTTACATGAAGCAAGTTGCGGAATTTTTTTACAACTGTTAGTTGTAAGAGCACATAGAGGGTAGGCAAGCCAACTACGACAGCATGGCAGATCATACCATACCTATGCCTGTTCTGCACACATGGCATCTAAGGAACAGAATATCATTTCTAGGAGTGTTCAAGTATGTAGGAATGTATCCAAATGTCTCATTTTCATGTGGTGGTTGAACAGGGCAGTATTGAAAATCATACCTTTGTGCCTTTTTTAGAATACATAGACTGAAATGATATTTCATAGCGGTTCAATAAATTTTTGCTGTATCAAAATGTCCTTACTTTCATGTATCTTTTCAGTGTAATAAAGCAATCGCGTGTATATAGGCGATTGGGACAATTTATAGTAATGGTGTTCAAGCCTCCACATAGTTGTACATATTTTTGACATTAACTTCGAGTAGTATCAATCAAATGATCTCAACTTATCAAGAGAAAGATCAGTATTATGCTGCCAAATTGTGGTGGCTAGACCAGTTGGCAGAACAATTCTGGTCAATAAAGACAACGTCATAAATGAGACGAAAAAGAGACTGAACCAGAAAGTTGCCATCTACTTCAACATATTGTAACACTCCACTTGGAATAACTAATTAATCGCACAGAACATAGAGGTATTGCATGATTCAAAGTGGTTTAAACTCTCCTTCACTGTGACATTAGGTTATAATTTTTGTATAATCAGGAAGAACTGACATGCTACACAGCAGATACGTTGGAGCATGAAACCACTGGAGAGCAGAGACAGCCATGAAATTCCTCAAGAAACTACTAACGACATTTCACTGAAAGCACTCAAGACACAACATATTGTACTTTGCAAGCAACAATAGCACCAATGGGAAACCAAAGAACTCGAAACCAAACTTTACACTTCTTTCAACTTATACATCCTGCAGTCACTAAGTGAACACCACGTTTACCACATGAGCCTGAAATAGAGCCATGCTCCCTTGATATGACAAGAAGAAGAGGGCCTCGTACAGCAATAGGATCCCACTGACACACCTACTGCACCAGCTTCATTGCCACTGGTAAAACCAATATGCACCGCAGGACACCAAAAACCAGGATGGTACCACATAACTTTGGCTAGAAACCAAACCATTTTGGTTTGTTAATAAAACATGTTTTCCTAAATCAAAACTACAAGCCTTAATCCACGTTTGTTTTGTAGTTCTGAAAGGTGGATTCACTTGACCCCGACAATGTGACAATTTAGTCACTATTTGTATATCTTTAACTGAATTTAATTTTCTCACAAAACCCATTTCTTTGAAAATATGTTTAGCATCAAATAAAGATTAAATACTCATATAAAAATGTTCTAAAATGTTTTGAGTTTTAGTGGTATTATTTTCCAATAAAAGAAATCAAACAATAATTCTCCCAAAAGCAAACCCAAAGCTTATTAAACACTAAATCCAAACAGTCACATTAGTTCTACAGAAAACAAAACCAGTACCAATTCTCCCAAAACAAAATCATTTTCTAGTCCAACAGCACTTATAATGTCTCCACAGGAAATGGTGATCAGCTTGTTCAATGTACAACTTGTTTTGCCATCTTTTCAGTGAAGCAGGCATCTAGCTGCTCATTGACCAAAACAGATACCATCAACTAATTAGTTTCAGATTTCATTGCACCGGAAGAAAGTTTTTATTCTATGAAAAGAAATTTTATTACAGAAATACAAACAATATGAAGATCATGCAACACAGAGAGAAGAAGGCTCTAGAAAGGAGTCGAAGAGCACCTACTATATGAGTATTTGTACAGTAGAATACATCATTGATGAGCATAACAAGCTCCTCATATTAGAACTTTGTCCCATGCTGAAGATACAAATCAAGCTCACTAGTAAGTGAAGTGGGACAATCTGAATCTCAAGTCCAGATGATTTCAATGCTAACCTTTCTGAATATGCAACAATTAGTCACTAAGCCCAAACAATGAAACAATTCCCATCGCACTACTCAGTCTAACAGACAGAAATACCAAATAGATGACGATAAGGCCTACACCAAGCATCTTGTTAGGGCGCATGTCATTTTTGGGAAGAACAACGAGGGCCCACAGAAGACCAAACATGAGGAAACATATGGTGTAAAACAAACTTCTGTCCCGTGGAAGTATGAAAGAAGAAGGTTTGTCTGACCAGGCACCAAGGAATAATGAGATTCCTAATCCAATAAGTGTATTGAACATGGGACCTGCATAGCATCCAGATAAAGCAATCTGCACACCATCTCCACCATTCATCGCCAAAGCAACATTTGAGACCAGATCACCCATTGAATTGCCCCAAGCCAAAACAGTGAGCCCAAGAATCGAGGGATTAACCCCCAGTACAACACCCAATCCAACCAGCAGCGCCACCAATTCATTCGCAATCATATAAAACCAAACGATACTCATAATAAAACCCCCCAAAACCCATGGAAGCAAAAACATCTGTGGTGGACGGTCAGCTCTTGTATGCTTGTATGCAAGTATACCCAATGTGCAACCAACAGAAATGCCAAGAACTATAGCAACACTTCTGCCTAGGTAACTCACATTATCCTGAGTATTCCATAAAGCTGCAAGAAGAAAAGGAGCTAAAGTAGCACTGCCTACAGCGTATGGTTTTGACCAAGTTTCTTCCTCAACTAATGGAATGGTTAATCGTCTTGGCACAGTCAATGGCAACTCTAGAAGTGAGCAGAGCTGAGAGCAGGAAAATGATGGGCTCTTGACTTCTACACCCTCGTCAATCCAACCCCACAAAGGCCTTTCCCCATCATGCACCCTCAATGACTGATTAGAATATATTGCCACATTGGATGCCCACATCCACTGAGGCAAGGAACCATGTGACTGTATGCTATTGTCCTCTGTCTCAACGTCAAGCAAAGAGCTATAAACAGAATCCTCCTCCTGAGTCCCTTCAGAAAATATACTTCCTCTTACAGGAAGCAAAGGGGTAACAACATCCAATCTCAATCTTCGCGCATGCTTCCTCAAAATCTCATTAGCAGCAACAACAAACGCATAAACAACATATATCAATACAAATGCGATAGTTGCTACCACACTAACTTCACCAACAATCAAGATCAATAATAGTGACATCAGCGTTACAATGAAAAAGACAATATCCCTAATAAAGCATTTTTTGTCAACCTGAACATCCTGATCAGCTACACAAAGAGAAACAGCACCCACAACAATGCAAGTAACAAACACAGCCCCACCTAAAACACTGTTAAGCCCAACATCACCAGCACCACTTCCTACAAACGCAGCAATACTCGCGAATACATCCGGAGCACCATTACCAAGCGGGAGCAAAACAACTCCAGCAACTGTAGGAGATAGCTTCAACAAGCTAGCCAGTTTCTCCAACGAACCACAAAAGTAATCAGCTGCAGTGTTACCCAAAAGATAGAACAATGCAGCAAGCCAGACACCAAATACTGCAAACGCCCACGCACTTCCATTACAACCACAGTAATAGAACTTAAGGTAATCAAAGAACCCTCCAGACGAGCAATCCGGGTGAACTTTCAAGAAGTCACAACTACTTTTAAACCCCACATGATCAAACAATCCTGCACATAACTGAGGCTTTTTTACCACCAAATCATCAGCATCCGACCCGTTTACTTCTAACATCCCTCGACGAACCACTCGTGTATGGGAAGAATAACCATCAAATCTACTACTTGGGTGCCACTGACTAGAAACTAAAGATGACTTCTTTAAAATTAAATTGCTCACAATATCTTCACGGTTGTAGAACATAAACATAAGGACTAGGGAACACACAAGATTGAACACCCCACGAAGTCGTGGACTTTTTCTAATGAGAAACCCATCAGATTTCTCCATTTGTCAACAAAAATTTCAAATTACCCAAGAACCATAATCCCTCAGTTTCAATTAAAAACTACTGAAACTCAGCAAAACGCATCGAAAACCCAAGAACCATAATCCTCAGTTTTCAATTAAAAACTACTGAAACTCACCAAAACACATCGAAAAGTCTTGGAATTTCGTACAAGACAAGAACAAAAATAGCTCAAAAGCAGAAATGGGTACTTACCAGATTGATGGGGTTTGAAATTCGAAGCTGTTAGAGGTTTGAGGAAGTTATGGGGTCATGAAAATCTTTGATCTTTCTGCGAAGCTTCCCGCAAAGGATCCTTTCACAAAAATCTCAATGTTACCTTTGGATGGTATTGGTAAACGTACAATTTCAAGATTATTTTTTTTCTCTAGAAACTAATTTGTATTAGTTGGTAGTAATAATTTATTATGAAGATTGAATTTTAAAAAAAGGGATGCCTTCTGTTTTTTCAAATAATAACAAATTGTATGACTAAATAATATTTGTCAAAGTTTTTTTCTAAAATCATTGTTATGACTCAAATCTAATATACATCATTATATTATCTAAGTTAGCAGAAAATATTATTATACTATCCAAAAAAAAACAAGAATCATCATTCAATATATTTTTGTTAAGAAACTGATTGAACCAATAAAAAAAATTAATTTGGTCATGTTTTAGTCACGACGAGAAGATCAAAGTTACCTAAAAAGAATAAGGATATGAATAGGAAATGAATCTTTCATTTTCAGAATTTAAATTATGTGTGTTGTTAGTTTATATGTTTTTTGCATCATCAAGTAAATTGACCTGCAACAATATACAAGTCTTGAAATATTTATACAGTAGATTCCGATGGTTAGAAAAATTATGTAAAAAAATTCATTCTAAAAATATTATGCCCAACTATTTAGAGATTTTCTTTAAAAAAATATTTAGTACGTATGTACGTTATATACAATGCAATTCACATTTTATAAAATGTACAGAAATGCTAGAAATTTAGTGAAATTACGTAGGTGTTTAGTTATGAAGATACAAAATACTCTATTACTTTATTTGAAATTTTTGAAGTTAGAGTTGTATTTGACCATACTTATTACAGAGAATATTTAGAATTTTAATATATTTTGTCTAAATATGATTTAAACCCTCAATTTCTAAAAATTAGAAAAATCACCCAACTTGACTAGCTTAACCATGTGTACATATATTTATTCGACTTGGCACATTTTTTTGTTGGTGGTGTGACTTTCTTAAAAAAATAGACATAAGGATGAATCTTGCAACTTTTTGGATAATGCAAGGATGTTTTTTGTTCACTTATATAACACAATGATGTATTTTAGGTTTAAGTCATATTTCAGGGATGATTTTAACCAAAAACTTTATCGAGAAAAGATAATTATTTTTTTATTTTATACTCAACATTAATTGAGCTGAGAAAAAAAGGCATAAAACGATTTCACGAATGTGATTTATGTGTAAGTTTTGGTCTCTTCCTATTTATTATTAAAATTACGTTATTACCCCTTCCGTTTAATTTTATTAGTCTACTATTTTTAAAATATATTTATTTCTTTTATTTATTACTTTTATCATATCGAGAAAAGATAAAAAAAAAAATAATCATTTTATACTCAACATTAATTGAGCTGAGAAAAAAGGCATAAAACGATTTCACGAATGTGATTTATGTGTAAGTTTGGTCTCTTCCTACTTTATTATTAAATTACGTTATTACCCCTTCCGTTTAATTTTATTTCTTTACTATTTTTTAAATTTATTCATTTCTTTTATTTATTACTTTTATCTTATCTAGAAAAGATAAAACAAAAAATTCATTTTATTGTCAAGCATAAAACGCATTCAACAAATGCGATTTATGTGTAAGTTTCAGTCTCTTTCCATTTATTGTTGAAATTACGTTTTTACCCCTTCCGTTTAATTTTGGCAAAAGTACTCATTGCCCCCTGAACTTGAAGCTTTTTATACGGTGTACACCTAAACTAAATTCCGTTTTAATTACCCCCCCGAACTTGTTTATTCCTCCGTCGCGTACACCTTTTTCGTTCACCTGCTCCTATTGTGACTACATGTGCGCGACAGCTGGCAAAAGTGGTGATGTGAATTTCCACCTGGATAAATAATAGCCACCTAGATAAATTAATATTGCAAAAATTAAATTTTTTAAATTTAAAATTCATTGTTTAAAAGCTATTTTTGAATAAGGGCTGATTTCGCGGAACTCCTTCTGGATTTGGGTTTTTCTAGACGTGAAGTTGGTCGATTAAATTTCAAATCTGTCTGAAATTCTTACCAAGTAAGTTTTAATCTTTGTTTCCTTTACTTTTCATTTACATTTTGCCCTAATTTTCGTTTAAAATATGCTAAATATTAAAATTCATCGTTTAAAAGTTATTTTTGAATAAGGGCTGATTTCGCGGAACTCCTTGAATTTCAAATTTGTCGGAAATTCTTACCAAATAAGTGTTAATGAGTACTTTTTCCTTTAATTTTATTTGTCTAATATTTTTAAAATATATTTATTACTTTTATCATATGAAAGATAATTCTTTTTTTCATTTTATAATCAACATTAATTGAGCCGAGAAAGAAAGACATAAAACGCATTCAACGAATGCAATTTGTGTGTAAGTTTCGGTCTCTTACCATTTATTGTTGAAATTACGTTACTACCCCTTCTGTTTAATTTTATTTGTTTAATATTTTTAAAATATAGTTATTTCTTTTATCATATCGAGAAAAGATAATTATTTTTTCATTTTATACTCAACATTAATTGAGCTGAAAAAGAAAGGCATAAAACGCGTTCAACGAATGCGATTTATGTGTAAGTTTCAGACTCATCCCATTTATTGTTGAAATTACGTTATTATCCCTTCCGTTTAATTTTATTTGTTTACTATTTTCTATATATATTCATTTCTTTTATTTATTACTTTTATCATATCGAGAAAAGATAATTATTTTTTTCCATTTTATACTCAATATTAATAGAACTGAGAAAAAAAGACATAAAATGCATCAACGAATGTGATTTATGTGTAAGTTTCGATCTTTTCCCATTTATTGTTGAAATTACGTATTTACTCCTTCCATATAATTTTATTAGTCCAATATTTTTATTTTTATTTTATTTATTTTATTTATTATTTTTATCATATCGAGAGAAAAAATCATTTTATTCTCAACATTAATTGAGTTGAGAAAGAAAGGCATCAAACGCATTCAACAAATGCGATTTATGTGAAAGTTTCGATCTCTTCCCATTTATTGTTGAAATTACATTATTATCCCTTCCGTTTGATTTTATTTGTCCAATATTTTTAAAATATATTTATTTCTTTTATTTATTACTTTTATCATATCGAGAAAAGATAATTATTTTTTTAGTTTTATACTCAACACTAATTGAGCTGAGAAAGAAGGACATAAAACGCATTCAACGAATGCGATTTATGCGTAAGTTTCGGTCTCTTCCCATTTATTGTTGAAATTACGTTATTACCCCTTCCGTTTACTTTTATTTTTTTACTATTTTCTAAATATATTTATTTCTTTAATTTATTACTTTTTATCATATCGAGAAAAGATAATTATTTTTTAGTTTTATACTCAACACTAATTGAGCTGAGAAAGAAGGACATAAAACGCATTCAACGAATGCGATTTATGTGTAAATTTCGGTCTCTTCCCATTTAATTTTATTAGTCCAATATTTTTTAAATATATTTATTACTTTTATTATATCGAGAAAAGATAATTATTTTTTTATTTTATACTCAACATTAATTGAGCTGAGAAAGAAAGGCATAAAACGTATTCAACGAATGCGATTTATGTGTAAGTTTCGATCTCTTCTCATTTATTGTTAAAATTACGTTGTTACCCCTTTCATTTAATTATATTTGTCTACTTTATTGAAATATATTTATATCTTTTATTTATTACTTTTATCATATCGAGAAAATAATAATTATTCTTTTATTTTATACTCAAAGTCTCTTCCCATTTATTGTTGAAATTACTTTATTACCCCTTCCGTTTAATTTTATTAGTCTACTATTTTAAACATTTTTATTTCTTTTATTTATTACTTTTATCATATCGAGAAAATATAATTATTTTTTCGTAATGCGATTTATGTGTAAATTTCAGTGTCTTCCCATTTATTGTTGAAATTACGTTACTACCCCTTCCGTTTAATCCTATTTGTCTATTATTTTTTAAATACATTTATTACTTTTATCATATCAAGAAAATATAATTATTTTTTCATTTTATACTCAACATTAATTGAGCTGAGAAAGAAAGACATAAAACGTATTCAACGAATGCAATTTATGTGTAAGTTTCAATCTCTTCTATTTATTGTTGAAATTACATTAATACCCCTTCCGTTTAATTATATTAGTCTACAATTTTTTAAATATATTTATTTCTTTAATTTATTACTTTTATCATATCGAGAAAAAATAATTATTTTTTCATTTAATTCTCAACATTAATTGCGCTGAGAAAGAAAGACATAAAATGCATTCAACGAATGCGATTTATGTGTAAGTTTAAGTCTCTTTCCATTTATTGTTGAAATTACATTATTACCCCTTTTGTTTAACTTTATTGGTCTATTATTTTTTAAATATATTTATTTATTTCTTTTATTTATTACTTTTATCATATTGGGAAAAAATAATTATTTTTTCATTTTATACTCAACATTAATTGAGTTGACAAAGAAAGCCATAAAGCGCTTTCAATGAATGCGATTTATGTGTAAGTTTCGGTCTCTTTCCGTTTATTGTTGAAATTATGTTATTACCCCTTCCGTTTAATTTTATTTGTTTACTATTTTAAAAAAAGGTAGAATTTAACATATATATACAATATAATTTTTCGACAAAGTGTATCTAATATGACTTTAGTTACGCCAGTGTGCACATATTTAGATGATTATGGGATTACCAAAAAACTTCATTATTATATGTTTGTGTAATGTTTTTTCCTATTGAGGCTCAATTTAATTTAATCAGAAGTTTTGCCTGACAGATAGTGTAACTCCAATTGATTTCTCGAGCTTGGTAGTTCCTCGAAAATAATGACCTATCTGGTGCTCTTTGTAAACTAGTAGCCAGTTCACATAAGATATATCAGATCTGCTGTTATATATTCTCATCAGCTTTACTTTTTGGTCATATCTGCTTCATTTTGCAGCACACTTGTAATTTGCAAAGAGAACTTAGTTTATGACTGGTAATTGGTGGATTTAACTTGGTGTATGCATTTTTCTCCAAGCACACGTTCTTATATGTCACTAACTAGTCTGTTTATATGTGTCTTTTTTGGTTTTAAGAAGATAGTATTGGAATCTATACATGAGTAACCAGAGTGTGTGTATAGTGAATTGTGCTCTTTCCTTTCCAAACTCAAAAAGTTTTCTTCCCCCCTAGGTCTTCTATCTTGTTTATAGTGCTGGGAATATATTTTTTCATTTTTCCCTTGGTAGAAGCTACGTGATTTGAAGTTGGATGGTGGTCCTGAAGGCAACAACATTTGTAGGTTGACCATGCCAAGAAGTAAGAAATGTAGTGTGACAATGCTAATTGCGCACTAATGTTATGTGCAAAATCAGGTGCCTTTTTACTAGAGCTAACCTGTAAAGAAAGATGTTTAGGATGAGAGAGTATTCTCTAACTCATTGAATTTTAAGGGGATTATACCTAAATCGTTTGCCTGTCCTATCTTTCACTAGAATTTTACAAGGTAAAGAGCTAGATGAGTTGTTTGTGTTTGAGGATTTGTACCTTAGAGCTTAGGTTTCTTCTTACCCTTTTTTTCTTGATGATATTACTTTTATCATATCGAGAAAATATAATTATTTTTTCATTTAATACTCAACATTAATTGAGCTGAGAAAGAAAGGCATAAAACGCATTCAACGAACGCGATTTATGTGTAAGTTTAAGTCTCTTTCCATTTATTGTTGAAATTACGTTATTACCCCTTTTGTTTAACTTTATTGGTCTATTATTTTTTAAATATATTTATTTATTTCTTTTATTTATTACTTTTATCATATTGAGAAAAAATAATTATTTTTTCATTTTATACTCAACATTAATTGAGTTGACAAAGAAAGCCATAAAGCGCTTTCAATGAATGCGATTTATGTGTAAGTTTCGGTCTCTTTCCGTTTATTGTTGAAATTATGTTATTACCCCTTCCGTTTAATTTTATTTGTTTACTATTTTAAAAAAAGGTAGAATTTAACATATATATATACAATATAATTTTTCGACAAAGTGTATCTAATATGACCGTAGTTACGCCAGTGTGCACATATTTAGATGATAAATGAAATCTAGAATCAACTATTAAGAACTCTGATGGGATAACTAGAATACATATGATTAATGTTTAATCAAAAAAATTGAATTTAAGTTTTAAAAATGACAATAATTTTTTCTAGTAGAAATTAAAGATCTATCGTTGTCATTTTTTTAAGATTAAATTAGTTTATCTTATTTATTTATTTATTTTATATTAAAAAGATTTTGAATTTGAATTTTGCGTGACAAGACCCGATGACATATCTTGTGATTAAACTAATCTATCGCCATCATTTTTCTGTGTTGACAAAATCTCCTCACTCGGTTCTATCTCTCTTTAATTTTTTTAATTTTTGTTTCTAATGTAGAAATCTTTGGTGTCAACAAAAGGAAACATTATTATTAGAAAATAAAAGTTAACGCGTTGAATTAAATTTATTGACAAATAAGTTACAAAATTTAGAGCAATACTCTGTCTGTTCCTTTTTCAAAAGCCTTTTTCTTATTTTTATTTTAATAATAACTGTATTTTTAATTGATATTTATATTCTTTCGTTTCAATTTATTTGTTCTATTTTACTTTAACACAATTTAAAAAATAAATAGTACTATCCTTTTTGAATCTTTTAATATAAAAACTAAAGATATACAAAATAATACTAAAATGTTTTCAATCTTACGTAGCAGCAAAGTAAAGAATTTGACTAGCGATGAACAAATTTTCTTCTAAGTTATGTTAAGAAGGTATAAAATTAAATATATATATATTTTTAATAGATAACACATCTAACATCTATACACCATATAAATTTCGGCGAAGCATATGTACGCATTATCCTTTGCCTAAAATAGTTTCACCTATGATCTTGTAATTTTAAATATATCATATGAAAAATTATAATTAATTTTTTTTTATGAAAAAAAAAAGTAAAATAAATAAATTGAATGGAATGATTTGTTTTATTTTATTTCATTTGAGACAAGTCAAAAGGCATTTATTCCCAAAATTTAACAAGAAGAATAAGGAGATGTAAGAAAAATATCCAAAAACCAATCTTTGGAAATCTTGAATTACCCAATTTCTGTCGGAATTTTCGCTCAGATTTCCATTTGAATTCCAACCCATTTCAGACAATCTCAAGTACCCTTTACTGTATTTTTTTTTTCTTGTGTGGGGATATATATATAATAGAGGGGTACCCTATCTTCCAGATTTGTTCATTGACTGGTAAGAAAATTGCTTTTTTCTTTATCCGATTTCTTGGGGTTTTTCCCTTTTCATCTGGTAGTGTAAACATGATATATTTACTTTTATAATCCTGATTGTTTAAGAATGTTTGTGATGGGTGTAATTGATTGTGGATAAATTTTGGTTTGTTGGTAGGAAGAATTTGGGGCAAGGGTGATTATTTTCCCTCTTTTTGGTTAGCTTAGGTTCAACTATCAAGAAATCACCTAGCTTTTTCTTCCTTTGCTGAGATTTGGACCTGGTTGATGAGCCACACTCATGGTTATGGGTGTTTGATTAAACAATTTTTTGTATGATTTGTGTTTGACCCGTCTTAGCACGAAAAACTCGATATAAGAATTTTTCTTGTCCATATAATCTGTGAATCCTGAGAAAAAAGATTGTAGCTTTAACCATTGGATGAATATTACTGAAAGGAACTTTCTTGAAGAAAAGTATTTATTGTTCTCTTTCATTTTGTCAAGCAGGAAGAATAAATTTACCTCACGGATCGGCAGAAATAAGCTCTTCTAACTCAGACGATTCGACATTCAAGCAGATTCAAAGGTGAAACCTTTTTGTCTCAACACAGCCACCTTAATTGTTAAGACAAAGTTCATTGTTTCAGGATGGATCTTTTAGATTTATTACAATTTTGAGAACTGTAACTCAAAGATCAGTTTGCAATTTAGTTTGTGAGCTTGACATGGCTATTTGGTTAATGTTTTTTGTTCTGCAGATATGCAGAGTCAGTTGATGTGCAGTGGGTGCAGGACAATGCTTCTTTATCCCAGAGGAGCTTCTAATGTCTGCTGTGCAGTGTGCAATGCACTCACCCCTGTCCCACCACCTGGTATCTGTGCTTTTCTTGATTCTGATGTTGTTATAAGAACAGTTTTTTTTCAAATTTGTGTGGCTGTTGTTTGGATTAAGGCCCCCTTCCATGTTGATGATAAGTGTTGTTGCTAGAAGATTGTTGTTAGGAAGGAAAATTAGTGTACTTAAACATTTTGAGTATATCTAATAGTAATGCTATGCTTGATGGTGACATGGTAAATAATGCCATACGGAGGGCTAGGTTTTGGGGAGGCTTAGTGTATAGATTTGTTGGGATTGAGATGTAGTTATTGTTGTTGTTGTTTTGCCTTGACATGGATTGAAGTGTAGTTGTCGTTGTGTTCTGTTACTCGAAGGTGTTGCTTAAATTGTGACCTTTCTCAGGAATGGAAATGGCTCAATTGATATGTGGAGGTTGTCGTACATTACTTATGCATCCACGTGGAGCGAACAGTGTGAGATGCTCCTGCTGTCATACGGTGAACCTTGTCCCAGGTACAGTTTATAACTTCCCTTTCCTTGATTTCAGAGACTAATGTTTGTCTGGTTATGAAAATCTAGTGTCTCTCTGCTGGAATGCAATGTTTCCTTCATTTGAGTATAATATGAATCTAGCTTTTGATACTATCCACTTAAGCTTGAGCTTCAGTTGTTTTCATTTATCATATGAGATCTTTTTCCTACATACTCATCAAAAGTTTATCATATGAGATCTCAAATTGAGATATCGGCATTTTTATTCTTGTATTACATGAAAAAAATCTGTTGGAAGAGTTACATTACTTTGATGATCTAACTATGTAGTACATAAGTGAACATTTCGGTATGATTGTGTTTTTAGTTGAACTAAGTTATGACTTATGAGTTTAGAGTGTGGTCTGGTCCCAGCTGAAATTCACAACTTTCGAGCTCTTCAATCTTTTGCCTTGGGGGAAGGGAGCTGTATAAATTTATGTCTTTGTCAGACTTAGTGGCATATGCTTATGGGATCACCAAAAAACTTCATTATTGTATGTTTGTGTAATGTTTTTTCATATTGAGGCTCAATTTAATCAGAAGTTTTGCCTGACAGGTAGGTGTAACTCCAATTGATTTCTCTTGAGTTTGGTAGTTCCTCGAAAATAATTACCTGATCTGGTGCTCTTTGTAAACTAGTAGCCAGTTCACATAAGATATATCTGATCTGCTGTTATATCTTCTCATCAGCTTTACTTTTTGGTCATATCTGCTTCATTTTGCAGCACACTTGTAATTTGCGAAGAGAACTTAGTTTATGACTGGTAATTGGTGGATATAACTTGGTGTATGCATTTTTCTCCAAGCACACTTCTTATATGTCACGGACTAGTCTGTTTATATGTCTTTTGTGGTTTTAAGTAAATATTACTGGAATCTATACATGAGTAATCAGAGTGGTTGTATAGTGAATTGTGCTCTTTCCTTTCCAAACTCAAAATTTTCTTTTCCCCTAGGTCTTCTATCTTGTTTATAGTGCTGGGAATATTTTTTTTCATTTTTCCCTTGGTCAGAAGCTACGTGATTTAAAGTTGGATGGTGGTCCTGAAGGCAACAACATTTGTAGGTCGACCATACCAAGAAGTAAGAAATGTAGTGTGACAATTCTAATTGGGCACTAATGTTATGTGCAAAATCAGGTGCCTTTTTACTAGAGCTAAGCTGTAAAGAAAGATGTTTAAGATGAGATAGTATTCTCTAACGCATTGAATTTTAAGGGGATTATTCCTAAATCGTTTGCCTTTTCTATCTTTCACTAGAATTTTATAAGGTAAAGAGCTAGATGAGTTGTTTGTGTTTGAGGATTTGTACCTTAGATAGAGCTTAGGTTTCTTGTTACCCTGTTTTTCTTCTGCCATTTTTGTCTCGAAGAACTCTCTGGATGACATATAATTGTGCTGTCAATCTTCAGGTCCTAACCAGTTTGCTCATGTCTACTGCGGGAACTGCCGTATGATGCTGATGTATCCATGTGGAGCTCCATCGGTTAAATGTGCAGTATGCCATTATATTACCAATGTTAATGTGAGTACGATGATTCATTTTTCTTTTTGATCTTTGGTTAAAATTTTAGCTGATGCTTCGTCCATATAGTTAAAGAAGTAAAATAACAAAGAGGAATGAATTTTAAAATTGTGCTTTTGGTAATGAGAATTCTATTTAGTGAGTAGTATAATATTTACTTACCTTGTTAGGATCTGAGAATAACCAACCACCATATTGACGTAGTTTAATCACAATTTAAAGTGAGAATATATATTACTTAACTGTAAATAAGTGATAAAATGGGTGAATGAAAGACGTGTCTTGCATGTTTTGGTTGGTGTAAACACCAAGTGTGGGTAAATTTTTTTATTTTGTTGCTTTAGGGTGATGCAAATCAATTAAAATCACAATATTAAACCTTTTATGTAAATAGTAAGATTTATTGAGATTAGGATGATCGGAATTGAAGGAGATAAGAAGGGAATAATTAACACAGTAAACATGTAGTTGTTGTCTTGTTGATGCTTCAAAATAGCCAATTCTTGAGTCATTCAAACTCAGGGAGATTGGTTGGGTTTGTCTCTGTTTAGGCTGCTCTTGTCTGGTTCTTCCTTCTCCACTTATAGTCTGAACCTATAGGAATCAGTAGATTATAGAGATTAACCTTGCTACATATCATGGATTATAAAGCAAGTAGATTAAGTTGAAAATCTTCGACACATTTTGAGGACTTCAAATAAAGCAAAGTGTAGAGTGGTTTAATCCTTGTGGAAGTTTAATGGAGAAGCTTATGTTGGAAGGGAAGTTGATCTTGAGCTTGTGATATCAGCATCATCAGCCCACTTAAATGCAAACTTATTTTGAGCATTTTGTTGCAAATTTTAGAAGTTATTGATATCACAGATTGTGGCAAAAAAAGGGGTAAGTGGCAGAGTAAGGAAGCAAAATCAAGTCTTTTTGGTGACTAGTCGATTGCTTAGGCTATTTGCATACATACCTGATTACAACAAGAATATGCCCAGTGTAATCCCACAAGTGGGATCTGGGAAAGGTGGTGTATACGCAGCCTTACCCCTACATTCCAAAGGTAGAGAGGTGGTTTTCGATAGACCTTGACTCAAGTAAAGCATATCAAAATCAGTAAGAAAAGAAAATGCAGTAGTGAAGAAGCTATGTAGAAAATAATGGAGAAAAGAACAGTAGCAACAACAAATAATATGATAACTAAAACTAAGGAAACAACATGTACTAATAGAATCGAAGAATAAGGGGAAAAGGGTTCAAAACACACCCAAACTATGGGTGAAATTGTTGTTACACATATGAACTTTGCAGGGGTCCTATGACCCCCCAGACTTACTTTTAGTATATTTTTATGGATATTATTTTCTTAGTCAGACTAGAAAGCCACTCAAACTTAAACGCTTACCTACACGCGCATTTACAAAATATCTTAGTCAATGAAAACGTTAGAAAGGGGGGAAAATAGGTTAGCGACTTTTCATCTTCATATTCTCACAGATTCAACTTTAATCACACAAATCTTTTACTTTGAACCAACTGATTCAAAGTTGTTGCTTGCATTTTGGTGGGTGTGTATTTTAGATTTTCGGATTCAACCTTTCCATCAATTGACGATTTCATTGTCTATACAAGTCTTATTCAAATCCAATTTTACCTCTTCCATAGCCAACCCTAATTTTATACGGAAAAATCGGCCAAGAAATTAGAAGCCCTAAACACGAATATAGACAAAAAAATTTAAAAAAATAATAATCAAAGCTGACCTCTTCAATCCTCTTCAACGATTTTGAGCTTTCAAAGTGGGAAATGTGTCTTTGATGGAGGTTTTAGTGAAGAACAACGGCTACATTGGAATATTTAATGAAAAAAATAAAAATATAAGTCATAAGTTGATTGCTACGTGGTGAATAAATATAGGTTACAGTAATTTTAAGTCCATCCTCACGCGCCTCTTGTACGTTCGTCTACTTGTTGGTCTGACCAAGCAAATAATACCCATAAAAATATACTAAAAGTAAGTCTGGGGGGTCATAGGACCCCCGCAAAGTTCATATGTGTAACAACAATTTCGCCCATAGTTTGGGTGTGTTTTGAACCATTTTCCCAAGAATAAGATAGTAGGAGAGTTGTAATAATAATAATATTGACAAGGGAGACTAGACAACATGCGTACATGAATATGATAAGGAATTTCAGTTTTCATGTGTTTATATGCATCTTTTTGCAGGCAGGAGATGGAAGAGCCCATGCATCTTTGAACCCTCCTAACGGCACTGCTACACCTGCTTCAGGATCCTCTTCAACTGTGAGTTCATAAGTCTGCCGCATGTTCCTTTCTTACTTACTAGTTTCTAATTTGACTAAAATTGATTTCTGAAATGTGGTCATATCTGCTTTAGGCCAAGGCTCGTTCACAAAATCAAACTGTTGTCGTCCAAAACCCAATGTCTGTCGATGAGAGTGGCAAGTTGGTAAGTTTTCCGTCATGATTAACCTCCTTTCTATTTATATTTATTGGCTTCTTCACTCCCAAGTTATCCACCTTATCATTAACAATACCATTTTACATTTCTAGGTGAGCAATGTAGTTGTTGGTGTAACGACAACATCATAGCTTGTCAGCTAAACTTGCTGTTCGCGGACAACAATTGAGAGTTTTGCTCGCAACAATTGGAAAGATGAGTATAAAGACAGCCGCTGCATATAAATATGGTAGTGTTTAGTGTTAATACTACAACCATACCCCTGTTTTTTTGTAACATTTTGAATTATGATTGTGGGGTGATTGAAGCTACAGCAAGTGTGGTGACTATTTGGAGTCTGTAATTGATAACTACGCGTTAGATTTGTGGCGTGAATATGCCCATAGTCATAAGTGAAGAATGTTATTATGTACCTTATATGCCATATTATTGTATATGACCATATACCATGAACCTTACTGCCTTCATGTGTTGCTTTAAAAGGCGTATTCATGATCTAGAGACTAGAGTTAGTGGGCTTTGAATGAGTGCGGTTTTATTAGATGTAAGCATCTTTTCCCTTGTGCATGTGTAATGGCACCTGCAGACTTTTCTTGGATTTGTCTCCAATTAATATGAATATGATATGGTTTTCTTTGGGAGAAATCTCACTTCATAAAAATCGTAAGAGGGCAAGAAATCTCATTTCCTTATTTCCCTCTGCCCTCTCGAAAGTAGTCAAACAAAAATAGTTGAAATACGAGAATGAAAAGGAGGGGGTGGGGGAGTGGTAATCTTTCTTTTTTAAAATTCCCTCCTCCCCCCTATACCTGTCTCCTTTTAGTCCCAACTACTTTGCCCTTTGGTATCTTCTTCAAGTTGAAAACTTGTGTAAGTTACTAAAAAAATATATATAATAGTATAATTTTGTTGAACAACAAACGTAATATGGTAAAATATTTCTCACAAGTTCAAGTGTAACTTGATTTTGATATCAATTTTCCTTTCATACTCACCTAACATATATACCTGGTGGGTGAGTTAGACTTTTTATCAAGCAGATTCAATACGAAGAAGTAAACACACGAAGTAGGAGTTTAACATTTACTTTATATACATAAAAAATAATAATTTAATCAATTATAAACAGTGTAATTTTTCATTGAATGAGGTTTGGACGAACCCCTTATTCCTATCTGGCTCTGCCACTGCATATATCTACTTGAAGATTATGTCTTAACTTGTTGCATACTTCATACAAAAGTCTCCCATTTTCCCACCAACTGATTAACCTAATTTGATGACAAAAAAAGGGCTAATTGCTCTTTCTATATAAACTAATAAACTGTCAGTAGGATGATAAACAAAACATATATACAAAATGGCTCAAGAAGGAAATGGACAAAAAACAGATGTGGCTAAGCCTAAGGACTACTGTAATTGGGTGATGCCATTGTTGAGGTTTTTGGCATTTGGTGCAACAATTTCAGCAACATTAGTTATGGCACTTAACAACCAAAAGAAAACTTTTGTTGTTGCCACTATGGGTACCACTCCTATTCAAGCTACTCTCAATGCTAAGTTCCAGCACACTCCAGCTTTTGTGTAAGCCCTTTCTACTAATTATCTTCTTTTTTATATATATAATTGTGGTGTCCAAGTAAGTTTGCACGTATCTTGATTAATCTTATGAGGTACTTTGCTATTTTCCACTAGCATAAGTATCGAGCAACTTTGTCCATTAAGATTTGGACAGATGATAAGGAATGATCAATACCAGGTCATCATATTACTAGAAACAAAGGTTTTTTTCCGCCACGAATTCAGTGAATAGATTGTGTTGTAGAACCTTATTTTCCTATTGATTTCTCATTGAATCAGCTCGTTGAAAAATGCATGGTGGAAAACAGATTCTCGCTGAAATAGTGGGAAATTTCCTAATTTTTCCATATGAAAACATTACTTACTCCGTCTCATATTAGTTGATCATTTTACTAAATATAGTTGTCCTGTATTAGTTGTCATCTTACTAAATCTAGAAAGCATTACTCAAATTTTTCCTATATTACCCTTGCAATTACTTCTTTTTGAAAGTGTTCACATTTGTTTGTAAAATTCCCAAGAGGTTTTTGTAAGGGGTGAATTAGTAAAATTATCTTCTTATTTATGATTTATTAATATACTTGTAAAAAGGAAAGTGATCAACTAATATGAGACGGAAGGAACAATGGCGAATTTAGAGGAAAAAAATAGGGCACCGGCACCCGTGGTCTCTTCGTAAAATTAGATATTTTATGTATATATTTTCTAAAATTTGTATAATATTATATTCTGGCACCCATACTACAAGAAGTCTAAATGGTCCACGTGGTTAACTGTTGAGCTTTTGACCTTGAGGATTAAGGATCAATTTCCACTTCAATACATTTTACTTGGTGCACCCATGTTCAAAAAATCTTAGATTCGCCTCTGAGAGGGAATACTATTTTTTCTTTCTCATCGATTCAGTCAATTATCTATGAAAATAGCCATTGTAGTAGTGTCAAGATTCAGTCAGATGTACTGAAGTAATTATGTCCACTAGGACACATCATTGGGTGCGTGCAGAGAGAGAGGGCTATCTTTCTAATTCTCTAATCATATAAAATATGGAAAATGGGTAATACATGCCTTTACGTTTGTTATTTGTCTTATATATGTGCTTCATTAATCTATCGATTAAAAAAAAACGTTTAACGTTATCTTTTTTCTCAAATATACCCTTAAAACAATTTTGTTGTGGATGCAGGTTTTTTGTTATAGCAAACGGACTATGCAGTCTCCATAACCTCCTCATGCTAGCATTTTGTTTTATTGGAAGCAAATATGACTACAAGGGACTACGATTATATGTAATTGGAATCCTAGACATGGTACTTAATTAATCAATTATTTAATTACTGACTCTAATATATTTTTTAATTCTTCAATTAATGGATTAATATTATTAATCTCTTGTATGATAGATAAATGTGGCACTAATCTCTGGTGGAGCAACCTCAGCAGCTTTTATGGGACAACTTGGTAGAGATGGAAATTCTCATGCAAGATGGAATAAAATTTGTGATAAATTTTATACATTTTGTAGCCATGGTGAAGGAGCTATTATTGCTTCTTTTATTGGTTTGCTCTTAATGATAATTACTACTGCCATTAATATAATTAAGCTTAAAAACGTCAAGAATTATGGCAATAATTGTGCCATTAATATTCCTTAATCAAGAAACTCCTAATTGTCATTTCATAAAAGAAAAAAAAAGTTGTATGGTTTTCGAGTGTTGTATTGTACCTAATTCTCTTAATGTAATGTTCATTTTAATGAAATTTTCATACTGGCTTTAATGCATTAATTTACCCCCCACCCCACCCATGTATATAAGTTTAATTTATGAGATTAACTTTTCTCCATTGACAGTGGACAACAAAATTACACCGTCGGTTTATTTTTAGAAATATACTATAGCTATAACATACAAATATGATTTTTGTATTTGACATATGTGAAAGTTGCTCATCCTTTAATATGTTCACATATTATTAATATTTAAATAAAAATAATAAGAAAAGTATTATATGGTAACTTAAACTCTAAATTAATTATAGGAGTTTGTTTAGGATTCTTATTGGTTGTCAAAAATAAGAAGGATTCTTTCACCAACTTTTCTTGTCCTCGTTATTTTCACCTCGTTCTTCATCAACACCATTGAAGCAATTTGAGACCATCATCAAATAACTTTTTACTCCTTTCTTTCTTTAAATTTTTTTTTAGACTAATTAATCTTATAAAATAATTATTCATATCTTATTAAGTGTTCTTTTCAACATCAAAAACTAATTTGAGACAATCATCAAATAACTTTTTACTCCTTTTTTTCTTTTAAAAAAAATTAGACTAATTAATCTTATAAAATAATTATTCATATCTTATTAAGTGTTCTCATCAAAAAATTTTGGATTGATGCTTCTATTGCTTCAGACTATATTTTCTCTTCTTAGTTCATTCAATCAACAATACAAAAATTAATTTAAAACAAACTTTGATTCATATACTATCATATGTACTCCAATTTATTTAAATAATACTTAAAGTTGATAGTATCAAAATATTTGAACGTTCTTTCAAAAAAAAAATTGTTTTAAAAAATAAAAAATGTAAAGAAAAAGAGAAGCTGAAAAATCATAAATCTTTAAATGTAAAAATATAATAATTAAATTAAAAGAAATTATATTTCTAAAAAGGAATTGACAGTGTAATTTTGTTGTCCACTGTCAGTGAAGAGAAGTTAATCTCTTAATTTATATTATCGATACGTTAAAGAAATTCTTACGTTATGATGTTTCTTAAAAATGTTATATCTCTAATAAAAAGGAAAATTTAGAGAAAAATAATTTTTGATATTATTCATCGATCATCATACAATTTGTTATCTCGTCCTTTCTCCAAAATTACACATCGTCAAAATAAATTATAAATAAAATTAAACAAAACATAAAATGTCCTGGAGTAGTTAGAGGTTTGGGCTAACTATTTTTCGAGTAATTTACATGAACTATCCATAAGAAATAATATTTTTTAGAAAAATATTAAATTACTAACTTATTTATTAAAATTTAAATTAATAAAAAATATTTTTTAATACTTTTTTTCTCATTTGCAAATGAGAAAAAAATCATATCTAAAATATAACTCTATTTTTTATTGTAACAGTTTTTAGAAAAATTGACTTGCTAATAATGATATAAAAAATTAAAATATCAAAATTAAGCTTAAATTTTATTTATTGTAGTATTTTTCTTCTTCAATTGGAATGAACTTCTTCTTTAGAATATAATGTCAGTGTATTAAATACATCATATAAGTATTAGAAAGAACTTAATTTTTTAAAAAGGAGTTAATCAATCCATATACCATGAGGGTATCATATCTTTTAAGAAATGTATTACTCTCAATGATACTCTTCGAATATATAAATATATGTCATGTGGCTGAGTTCTTTTTGAAGAATGAATCAGTCCTTTATGATATCTTCTTGTTAGTATATATAATATATCAAATGAGGCAGTCATTTTTGATACTTTGTCGGTATACGATGTATACCTTATAGGTATCATAAAGAATTGAGTTATGAAATTTGTGATACCATGTCAGTTTATGATATATACTAGGTATAAGAATATGATACGTCATAAAGGAATCATGAGTAGTATATCCTAAACAAATGAACCAATCGCCTATGATAGTTTGTTAGTATACGTTATATACTTCATTGGTATCATATTATACTACCAACAATATACCAGAATTGCTATTGATTTGATATGCCATTTGCTAAAATCAACTAGTTTTTTGATAGTTGATATAGAAAAACAAATGGTACTTTATAAGTTATTGTTGTTAATATAGAATAAAATAGATTAGTTAAAAGGTGTGTATAATTAAATTATGAAAAAATAAAAAAATAAAAAATCAGAAAAAAAAAGAAGGAAAAAATGAAAGAAGAA